GGTCACAAATGGGCACCCCCCATCATTTTGGTTTTAATTGTGGTGCATTTTTGCTCAACACCATAAATTATGGTGTATGATCACCATACACCTCATCATGATATGTCCTTTCACTTAACCTTTGTTAATTTTTTTCTTTTTTTTTTTGTTTAGAAAATGTATATTTAATATTAAAGTTAACCAAAATTAGTTGAAATGACATGTGTCAAAAGATGAGGTGTATGGTGAGCTTACACTAGAGTTATGCTAATGAGCAAAAATGCTCTCGTCTTGAAGGTGAAAACCAACCAATGTCTCCTTTTGATATAATTCTATCATATATGTTTTATTGTCCTAATGTGGTGCACTTGTGGATCCTAAAAGTCTAATTAGGTTGTTCCACATGGAAAGTAATTTATTGTGATTATTTTTTTGGTCAAGTAATATATCTTTCATTACATTAACAAAACCCAAAAAAAACCAGGTAAACAACAAGAAGTTAAGTAAAGTCGAAGCAAAATGATAGTGACAATCCAAGATATAACGGGAAGCCTACACAAGCTTAGGCCTGAATGTTGCAAAAGCAAAGACCACACCGCCACCACCGTCACATCCTCGGAGGAAGCCAAACTCTGAATCGAGAAAGTAGCCACCAGATCCAGGTCCTTTTCACGAACCCCCACAAATATATACAAACAAAGTATCATATGGGTCGAGAGTGAGGCTAAGAGGTTTGTAAAATACCCCACACTTGACCTCGATAAGGATTCGGCATGCCAGTTGGGGTAGGGGAAGTGAGGGAGGGAAGTGGATTTGATATCCAATTTTCTGAACGGAGCCTGCTGGCCTGAGCACATAGTGGGATGGGATGAAGTATCACAGCTAGGGATGAGGGAAGAAGGAAAAATAAAAGACATAAAGCAGCAGGCGAAAAACGCCAGATAAGGACCATGAAGTCCAAATCTGAGACAAATTCAGGGGATAGTTCAGATTTGGCTTAGGAAAACTGAGATAAAAATCCCAAGGAAACTAAGAAAGAAAAAGGAAGATGAGGTGGATGCAGGAGGGGGAATGGACAGAGGAGATGAGAAGGGAGAAAAAGAAGGAAAGGGCAAATAAGAGAGGAAGGAAGGAGGAAGAAAAGGAGTAGCGGGCTGCTGCCTACCCCGAGTAAGAGCAAGGGGCGGCGATTGAAACTTGAAACTGTAAAAGGAGGGGTTGCTTATGGATCTGGAATTTGGAGTTCACATGGAGATATAGAAACCGTGTGTTTTGCTTATTTATTATGATTTAAAACCATAAGAACAAGTAGTGGATTGGTGTTTGGGGGCAGGTAGTAGAAGAGAGTATCAATCATTGTATATGGGTGGAAAAAAAAGTGAAGATAAAATGGGCTATGAGAAAGCATAAGAAAAAAGAGAGGAGATCAATGGTTTTTTTCTTGCAGATTATGAGGATAGAGATTCAGATAGTTGGGTTTTCATAGGGTTTGAGACATGATAGTCAGAGAAGAAGATACGCCATATTTAACAATACGCTCGCATACACGTATTTCATTGTATTTGGAGTTGTTTTATTTATTTTGAATGTCAAATAAAAGAGTTAACAAAGCTATCTCTTGGTTAAATCATAGGACATTTGACAAAATATTAGCAAAAAGAAGACACAAAAGAGACCAAAAAAAATCAGGGACATCAGACCTGTGACCGGTCACAAATGGTGGCTCCCATGAGTGACGCCACACCTACCCATTTATCAATTTATATAATTGAGTAATTTACCTCTACACCCACATCTGTTTTAAGGTATAACTGGAAATGGAATATAAAGTTTATACAAAAATTAATGGCTGAAGTTAAAATTACTGGGTTTAAATAAATTGTTTTTTTTAATCAAGTCTTCTCTAAAAAGATTGATCTGATTTAAAAATCATCCGTCTATATTTGTGTTATGCCACTCCAAATTTATTATTTTTTTTTAGTATTTTGAATTTCTAGGTGCATTTGATTTTTATTTATTTATTTTACAGCCTTGAGAAAAGTGATTTGATGGGCATTTTGGTCATTTTACATTTCACTTTGGTGTTTAGAAGTGGGTTTAGAGGCATGATAGATAAATCATTGCAATCTCATCATGCGACGGAATGACATTCTCTATATGTAACTGCTTTAACCTGATATCTTCTTTATATTTCTTTTCTATACTTTGCGCATTTTGACTATATGGCAAATTATTGCAAATTTTGAGGATGAAATTTTTATAAATGTTAGCTGTGCCTAGAAATTCTCTAAACTTTTTGAGTATTTTGATAAATGTTGGTTATGACGAGAAACTCTCCAAAAGTTTTTTGTGTGCATGTGTGAAAAGCATGGGGTAATAGTGCTCACCAATTATCCCATTATCATATTAAAATTAAGGGAGGAAATTTACAAACAATGGGGACATAAAGCAAACCTCGTTGAAGAAATAACAACGCAAGTAAGATGGCAGGGGAACCTAAAAGCCACCCCATGTACAAAGTAAAACAAATAGTAAAAACAAAATCATCTGAAACGAAAATTGGTAGAAGTAGAAAGATCATGACATAAGCAGAAGCTACATACATAAAGGAGCTTTGGACTACCCTAATATGCATCATAATTTGTGAAAAATCTCCGTCAAATTGAAGAAACCATCAGTTAAGGGAGGGGTTCATTTGACAAAAATGCCCTTAATTTTAACCGAGTTTTTTCACAGAATGATCAAAATGATTGACGGTGGACAATCTCAAAGACCACTTTTGTCGATTTTAAATTTTAAGAACCAAAGTGAAGAGTTGCACCAACAGACTCTGCTTTTGAAGGATTTTCAACAATTGGCTGCACCTACACACTCTTCAACAGGTTGAATTATCTAATTTTATATTTAATTTTTTATATTACTATATTCGAATGCATTTTGTTATAGGTTGATCTCTTGGTTTCCATGGACAAGTCACCCGTTGCCTTGTGCCCATGGGGCTTTCTTGACTTCTCTGCTACTTCTTCCAAATTGAATATTGCCACTGGTCAATTATCCGGTCAACTTCCCAAAAGCACGGACCTTTGCTGCCATTGTCACAAATGGTGCGGAAAGTTCAGTTAATTTAAGTCAACTTCCCTCTCCTACTGTTCGGGGAGATGTGACTTACGTCAAAATCAGTGAGGACCTTTATCAAGAACAATTACGTTCATGCCGAACAAACCTCATTGGTAGGCTTTTGTTAAAAAAAAGGAACGATGCCGATGAAGACTGAGTTTCTCAAGAGTGCTTTGGCTTCTTTATGGAAGCCTCACAATTCATGGAAACTGGTACCTCTTGGCAAGGGATATTTTGATCTTCACTTTTCCAACGAAGAAGATGTGAGAAGAGTATGGGGTGGTGGAACCTGTACACTTCAATTTGGTCTTTTTAGGTTGTCTCAATGGCAACCAGATTTCAAACTTGGTGGTGTCCTTCCCCAAACACATGCACAGGTATGGATCAAAATATAGGGCCTAAGTCAAGAGTATTGGCACCCTCGCATTCTTATGGAAATTGCTCGTGGGGTGGGTACCCCACTTCAGTTGGATCATGCTACACGTGAAAAGTTATATGGTTATTATGCTAGAATTCTGGTCGATGTGGATCTTTCTGCTGATTTGCCTTCATCTATTATGGTTGAGCGGGAACAACATGGTTTTTCTGTTGATATTATTTATGAGAATTTGCCACCAACCTGTGGACATTGTGGTGTAATTGGCCATAATACAAACAAATGCCGACATTTAAAGGGTAATCATTCCGATGGGATGCATCCAGATGTTGAGGCGCATCATCGAGGACGATCACCAACTCGTCAAGTCTATCGTCCAAAACCGTCGGCTAAGACTGCTTCTCCTTCAGGTGATACTATACACATGGAATGTTCCCCTTCAGTTGAAATTATTCACAATAAGTGTTCTACTGGACTTAATAATGATATGGGGGTCCCACTTTGTAGCTCTCTTGAGCAACGCCCTGCTGAACAAGTCAACGATTTTGTAAATCAAATATTAATGACTGTTGTGAATAATGAGCTAAGTGTGTTGGCTGACAAGGTAATTGATTCATCGACAGATTTTCATGGTCACTTAGAGACAATTTCAGATAGACAGCTTCTAGAGGTACAACCAACCAATATTATTAATGATTCCCCTTCTCGCAACTTGAATGGTACTCTTTCAGAGGAGATAGGAGATGAGCCTACGGAAGAAAATAATATCGACCACAATGTTGATGTTGATGTTGATGTCCCACCTGGTTTTGGTTCGAGGAAAGAGATCAACGTTGTGGATGCAGGGAAGGATTCAAATGACTTTACTCTAGTTCTTAGTAAATCTCACCAAAAGAAACAAAAGAAAAACCAAAAAGTTGACGCATGTAGGCAAGAAGAACCCTATGTTACAAGGGGAGGAAGACAAGTTATTTCTACCTCCAAATGAAGCTAGTTTATTGGAATATTCGCGGTATTGGTAATTCTGATACACGTACGGAGCTTTCAAATGTTTGCCACTCCCATCATCCCGACTTGGTTTGCATCTCTGAACCTATGGTTACTTTTGATTCTATTCCTTCTGCTTATTGGAATTCATTAGGTCTATCTTTACTTACTGTCAATAACAGGGGTGATTTATTGCCTAATATTTGGGTTTTGTATTCTACGGATTATTGTTCTCCTACTATAATTTCTTCTTCAGGGCAACAAGTTACTTTTCAGGCTTCTTTTGAAGGTTTTCTTCTCAGTTTACTATTGTTTATGCGGCTACTACCTCAACTCTTCGTCATGATTTATGGCGTGACCTCTTAATTATCCGTTCTAATACTACAATGCCATGGGTGGCAATTGGTGACTTTAATGCTATCCTTGGAGCGCATGAGCAAATGGGTGGTCACTTGCCTGCTCGAACTTCGTGTGAGGACTTTCGAAGTACCACTGAGCTTTGTGAATTTACTCATATGGATACTACTGGTGCTTTTTATGCTTACAACTGGTGGAAATTATAGTCAACAAAATCAAGAAGTCTGCTGGATTACCCCCGCCTACTTTGAGGGCTTTTGCATGTTCTGTTTCTGCATGGCTTAAGAGGTTGCGCGATATTGCTTTAAAGAAGGAAATGAAGACAAGAGAAGATGGCATTAGTACAACCCCTACGTTATTGGGATTGGCCACTTCTTTGTCTAGTCTCTGCTCAGGTGCTGAGTATCTGTTGCAAATAGTGCATGGTGCCATCCCACAGGTGTATTTTGAGTCTAATTCGTCTCTTCCTGCTGCTTACTTGGCTGTTCACGTCCTTGACCATCTTTACAAGAAGCTGGATGAAGTGTGTCTAGTGCGAGGTGGTGAGGAGGAAGATTACCAGATGCTTCTTTATTTATTTATTGGAAGTATATTGCCGTATATTGAGGGTCTTGATTCTTGGCTTTTTGAAGGAACACTAGATGATCCATACGAGGAGATGTTCCTTTATGTTAATAAAGCAATATCTGCTGACGAGACTGACTTTTGGGAGAAGAGTTATCTATTAAGGCAAGTACAGTATCAAATGTTAGATGTTGCGACCTCTGCCTCAGTGACAAGTTTCTACGGATTCTATTCCTTCTGCTTATTGGAATTCATTAGGTCTATCTTTACTTACTGTCAATAACAGGGGTGATTTATTGCCTAATATTTGGGTTTTGTATTCTACGGATTATTGTTCTCCTACTATAATTTCTTCTTCATGGCAACAAGTTACTTTTCAGGCTTCTTTTGAAGGTGTTCTTTCTCAGTTTACTATTGTTTATGCGGCTACTACCTCAACTCTTCGTCATGATTTATGGTGTGACCTCTTAAATATCCGTTCTAATACTACAATGCCATGGATGGCAATTGGTGACTTTAATGCTATCCTTGGAGCGCATGAGCAAATGGGTGGTCACTTGCCTGCTCGAACTTCATGTGAGGACTTTCAAAGTACTACTGAGCTTTGTGACTTTACTCATATGGATACTACTGGTGCTTTTTATAACTGGTGGAAATTATAGTCAACAAAATCGAGAAGTCTGCTGGATTACCCCCGCCTACTTGGAGGGCTTTTGCATGTTCTGTTTCTGCGTGGCTTAAGAGGTTGCGTGATATTGCTTTAAAGAAGGAAATGAAGATAAGAGAAGATGGCATTAGTACAACCCCTACGTTATTGGGATTGGCCACTTCTTTGTGTAGTCTCCGCTCAGGTGCTGAGTATCTGTTGCAAATAGTGCATGGTGCCATCCCACAGGTGTATTTTGAGTCTAATTCGTCTCTTCCTGCTGCTTACTTGGCTGTTCACGTCCTTGACCATCTTTACAAGAAGCTGGATGAAGTGTGTCTAGTGCGAGGTGGTGAGGAGGAAGATTACCAGATGCTTCTTTATTTATTTATTGGAAGTATATTGCCGTATATTGAGGGTCTTGATTCTTGGCTTTTTGAAGGAACACTAGATGATCCATACGAGGAGATGTTCCTTTATGTTAATAAAGCAATATCTGCTGACGAGACTGACTTTTGGGAGAAGAGTTATCTATTAAGGCAAGTACAGTATCAAATGTTAGATGTTGCGACCTCTGCCTCAGTGACAAGTTTTATGAAAGGAAAGGAATGTGGCAATAAAGACCTTCAATCATGTCCATTGTTTATTAAGGACATAGCTAAGTCTATTGTTTCTGCTGGAAAATTGTTACAGCTGATCCGGCATATTCCCATGACATCTTCAGTTGTATATAGAAACGGAAATGACTCTGAGGTTGATGGTTCTGGAAGTTTTAATAAAGGTGTCTTTAGACAAATGACATGTTTCACACGAAATTAAATCATTACCTAAGTTTGGAAACAAGGAAGACAAAACAGGTTGGGAAGGATGAGCTAAACGTTGATGCCACAATTGACTATCTTGGGATGGATTGGACTTGGCTTGAAATCCTCTGGGACTGTTTTTTGATATGTAATAGAGGCCATCAAGGTAAAACCCTTCACCAATCGTCTTCTTGGTGAGGCAATCCTGAAAAATGACATTGTGAGGAGAGAAAATGGCCAAACAATTTAAGGTATTGGTGATTTTTCCCACAGATAGAAGTTGAAATGGAAAAGAAGGAACAAATAAGGCTACTGACTCAATTTTGTCCGATATTAAGTTGATATTTCCCTTCCCTAAAACCTTAGAACTCTCACCATTGGCAGTTGAGACTTGAGACGGTTTTGAAAAATTTTCAAACTTGTGAAACTTAGAAACATGGTTGGTCATATGATCTGTGGCACCCGAATCAACAATCCACAAATCATGCATCATATTTACATTAAGAGCAGTTTTAAAAGCAGTCATGATACCTTGCATGTCATCTTGGGCCATGTGTTGTGTTTCTGTCAGAAATCCAGCAAACTTGCCTAGCAAAGCTGTTGAACTTCCATCTTCAAAGCCGACCGTTTGGTCACTCTTAATCCTTTCTTTCTTGCTTTGAAGATACACTGCAAACTCATTTATGAGTGCAGCTAGATTTGCAGTGAAGCTCTTGAGTGCATCAGACCTATGAGAGGTTGAGGTAGTTGCATTGTTGGCTCTATGTGGTGCACGGTTCAGTCTTTGTGAGCCCTTGTTATCCTTCATGAACTCTGGCTTTAATTCCGGATGTAAAATCCAGCATGTCTCCTTAACGTGACCAGTATAGTTGCAGTGTTGGCACTTTAAGTGTGGATTCTTCACTTTGTATTTTCTTTCGTTGGCTAGATAAGCCCTTGCTTCAGTTACACTGGTCTTTGTGCTAGTGTTCATGACTTTCCTTCGTACTTCTTCACGTTGGATTGTTGCACATACGCTGGTGAAGGAAGGTAGTTCGGGGTTCATGAGTATGTGGCTTCGTAGGTCTTCGTATCCTGGATCGAGACTTGACAAGAGTTGGAATATCTTGTCTTCTTCTGCCCTTTTCAGTAGTAAAGACGCCTCAGTTGTGTGAGGCCAATACATTTCCAGCTCATTCCACATGCTCTTCATGCTGCCTAGAAGTTGCACAAAGGGCTTTCCTTCTTGTTGTATGTTGGAAATGTTCTTCTTCAATTGAAACACACGTGCAGCATTGTTCTGGCTGCCATACATTTCCTTGACTGTCTGCCACAGTTTGAATGATGATTCAGAATAACTGAATATTTCAGCTAGTTTACGTTCCATGGAATTTAGGAGCCATGACATAACTAGCTGATCCTTGCAAAGCCAGATTTCATAAGTTGGTGAAGAAACATCAGGAACTTCGATGCTTCCATTTATGAACCCTAGCTTGGACCTTCCACCTAGGGCAAGACTCACTGCTCTCGACCAAGGTAAGTAATTAAACTCATTTAACAAGACCGAGCTTAATCTTTGGTTTGGATTGACATCCACCTCAGACACGGTTGAGGAGGAAGGTATCTAGGAATCTCCAAACGAATAAGAATTCTCTTCCGCCATATAAAGACCTATAAGAATAAAGAAAGAATTTTTTTTTTCCTTTTTTTTTTTTTTTTTCTTAAACAATTAGAATAAAAACAATAGATAGAGAGACAGAGCCACAAGAGCACCTTCAACCAAGTCTGAGGCTACAACCGCCGAAGAGCCAAAGGAAACAACACCACCCGTAGAAGCAGAAATCGAGAAACCAGCTGCTCCCGAAGCCGAGGCTTCAGTTTCGGTTGAAGTTGAGACCAAGGAGGAGGTGGCAGAAGAACCAAAGGCGGGCGAGGCAGCTGAGGTGGAGGAGCCAACAGTAGAAACGGAGACAACAGAAGCAGAAGAGCATGCAGAAAGGGGAAAATGAGGCACCGGAACCCGAGTATGGATCTGGGTATAGGAGAAAGCCCAGCTACGGTGAGGAATCTGGTTATGGCGATTTTTGGTTTGGCAGCAGGCTTAGACTTAACCGGAGCAGCCGCTTTGGGCTTCGTAGCAGCAGCTTTTGGCTTAGCTGCGGGCTTGGCCTTCGGTTTTGCCTTAGGCTTGGCAGCGGCAGCGACCTTTGGTTATGATGGTGAAAAAACGGGAGCTTGATGGTCTCGGCTCGGAAAGCTGAGCTGCTGGGTTTCTGACCTCTGCTGGAAACTCCCGTGGGTCTTGGAGCTTGAGAGGGAGCTTGAGGTGAAAAAGGCGGGAGCTTGATGGTCTGGCTCGGAAATCTGAGCTGCTGGGTTTCTGACCTCTGCTGGAAACTCTGGGCCTCTTCCGAAAGCGGTTTCCAGTTATGCACCTCGGATTCTGACGGTCACTACCAGAACCATTTACAGAGTTTGTTGCGAAAGCATACTAAGTTTGACACTGATCTGCACCTTTTCACTCAGAGTCTCCTCAGGTCTCAACCTCCGTTGTTGAGCCATACAACAGCGAAGCAGAAGCAGGTTATTTTTCCTGCTTTGATACCATCTTGATTTTTCTGATTTGAATTGTAATTTATTTCATATCTGAAACATTCCCTGTTGTCCATACTTATACACAATAAAGGAAAGCTTTACACAGGTGCAACATCAATAATAAAATGTCCTCCCTGCTGTCCATGAGACAGCAATCACATGTCCTCCTTGTTGTCTTTCCTTTATGGCAATGATGACTATAGTTGTAATGATGACTTGTTGTGCTGTCTATGCACGTTCCTAGCCGTGCTTCTTCCAATAAAACTCTGCTGATGGAGTGCTACTAAGTTTTCCTGATTCATTGATTGTATCCCTCACCAAAAATCACGACTTAAATGGAAATGAGCAACCTAAGATGGCTTCCCTTCCCTCAACTCCTCATAAAAGTCGTGTTCAGAGCTTTGGAATGGATGGACTTGATCAACTAAACTTCACATATAAGGTCTCTTGGCCACTTGAACTTATTGCAAACGCGGAGGCAATCAAGAAATATAACCAGGTCATGGGGTTCTTGTTGAAGGTTAAGCGAGCAAAATTCGTACTTGATATAGCTCGAAGGTGGATGTGGAAGGGTAGAGGCAGTGCCGCAAACAACCACAAGCGTCACTGGTTAGTGGAGCAAAAACTTCTCCATTTTGTCGATGCTTTTCACCAGTATGTGATGGACAGAGTATATCACAATGCATGGCGTGAGCCATGCGAAGGTATGGCAGCCGCTCGATCTCTGGACGAAGTCATAGAAGTACATGAATTGTACTTGTTGACAATTCAGCGGCAGTGCTTTGTAGTTCCAGATAAGCTGTGGGCTCTCATAGCAAGCAGGATAAACAACATCCTGGGATTAGCATTGGACTTCTATTCTATACAACTGACGCTCAGCGGCGGAACAGTTTCTGCAATTAAGGCCAAATGCGAAATGGAAGTCGATCGTATTGAGAAGCAGTTTGATGATTGCATTGCTTTCCTGCTCAGAGTGCTTTCGTTCAAGCTCTACGTCGGGCACTTTCCTCATTTAGCAAATTTGGTTACTAGGATCAACTACAATTACTTTTACATGTCGGATGCTGGAAACCTAGGGACTCTCCCGAGCTCGGAAAATGTTGCTTCGAGGCTGGGGAAGGCTTTTCTAAGCAGAACAGAATGATTGCAGTTAAGGATTTTAGTTTATTTAATTTTTTGGAGTAAAACATCACATATTAAAACAAATTTAATATGCTACAAGGAATTAGGGTAAAAAAAATATATATATGAATGTTACTTTCTTTCATTTGTATTTGTTATTGGACTTTAGCCAAACGACCATTCTTTCCCGGCAACTTCAAAGCTCCCCCCTTGAAGATGCATCCCATTTTTCTAGTGAGAACCAATGAAGGGGGTCGTTGACCTGCAGTCTTGAGTTTGTTAAGGGGCTACACGAGACTCACATTAGGCTGTCGATCTTGTGCTTGTTCATGGCTTCTTCTTCTTCATCTGTTCCTGATTGGAAATATGATGTCTTCTTGAATTTTCGAGGCGAAGACACTCGCAGGACCTTCATTGGCCATCTCTACAAAGCTCTAGTTCAGAACTCAATCAACACGTTCATTGACGCTGAACAGCTCAGAAAAGGCAACGGCCTTTCGCAGCTACTCACAGCTATAAGCGACTCGAGGCTTTCAATTGTAGTTTTTTCTCAAAACTACGCTTCTTCCACATGGTGCTTGAAAGAAATCGTCCAAATACTGCAATGCATGGATCAGAAGAAGCAGATTGTGATTCCCATTTTCTACGAAGTAAACCCATCTCATGTTCGTAAAATCGAGGGAAGTTTTGAGAAAGCTTTTTCTAAACATGAACATGATCCTAATGCCGACGTGGAGGAAGTGCAGCGGTGGAGGTCCGCTCTACAAAGAGCCCCCAATTTATGTGGCTGGGATTCACAAAATTACCAGTAACTCATTCCTTCATAATCTTCTGAACTTACTAGTTTAGAAGTTTAGCTAATTTCCTGTTTTGGTCTTTTTAGTCTCGAAGAAAATTCTTATTTCGTTTATAGTCGCTAATTTCCTGTGGTTATAATTAATGTTGATACAACTAGAACCAAGACTTCCTTCGCAACCCTCTACAAAATTGAATACCCACCAACTGTCTGCAAAACTTTCCACCGCCACACCTAGATATTTTCTATGAGAAGGGAAGAGGAAACTAATTTAAAAAATTAGGGGCCCTTGATATTGATCTTGCGGTGAAGAATTCACTTGTTTTTATTTACGTTTTCACATGGGAAGACGTAATTTGTACAAAACCTCTTAATTTTCTCCCTCTTTCATGATGAGGAAAGACCAGGTGTAAGAAGCAGAGAGGAGACATAATTTACAAAAGACGTTGTCCAACGTTAATAAGTAAACAAGAACAAGTTAAATTAATTCTTCAAACCGCAAGACCAATATATATATGGCCACGATTAAAGGGTCTATAAAACATCTGGGGAGGATATACATGACTAGTTCTCTTATATGTTGATTGAACTTAGAAGAGTGCATTGAGTAAATGAAAGAAGAATAAATTGAGAATTATTGGGTCGTTACTTTGTGTTTTCAATGACAGTGTGATGAGTGTTATATAACTAGCAATCGCAGGACTTCACAATACTGTTTTTCAAATTTGGCAGGGATGATGCCAAGCTTATTGAGTTGATTGTAGATGATATTTTTAAGAAATTGATCAACAACTTATCAAGTGAAAAGAGTGGCTTGGTTGGAATGGATTCCCGCTTACAGAAAATGGATTCACTATTATGTCCTGAGGTCGGTAACGTTCGCCTTGTTGGAATATGGGGTATGGGCGGTATAGGAAAAACCACCATCGCTAGAGCTGTGTATGACAAAATCAATCATCACTTCGAAGGTCGTTGCTTTCTTGAAAATGTCAAGGGACGTTTTCCCTCCACTGATGCAGGTGAAGCACCACTAGATATGCAGGCAGAACTTCTATCTAGTATCACAATTATGAAGGTGGGGAGTTCAGAGATTTTGAGAAATGGCTTTCAGAAGATGATGGAAAGAGTTGGTAAGAAAAAAGTTTTACTTGTTCTGGATAATGTGGAGAGTTCATCCCAAATTGAAGCCTTAATTGGAAAGCAACCTTCATTTGGTGGCGGAAGTCGAATCATTATAACAACTAGAGATAAGCAGTCACTAAGTAGACTTGGTGATCAGATATATGAGCCCGAGTTGTTAAATGACGATGACGCTCTTGAGCTGTTTATGCAGTACGCTTTCAGTACAAAGCAACCCACAGAAGAATACATTGATCTGTCAGGCCATTTCATAAAATATGCTCAAGGTTTGCCTTTAGCACTTAAAGTCTTGGGAGCATTTCTCGATAACAAAAGTGTACTTTTGTGGAAAGATGAGTTAAAGAAAATAGCGAGAAACCCGCACCTGGGAATTCAGAAAGTCCTTAGAACAAGCTTTGATGGACTAGATGGTTTACAGAAGGAAATATTTCTTGATATTGCATGTTTCTTTAAACAAATGAAGAAAGACTTCGCAATACGGATTATGGAAGGTTGTGACTTGCATCCCCATACCGGATTAGACGTCCTAGTTGGAAGAGCTCTTGTCGTTATCTCATCTGACGGTGTACTTGAGATGCATGATTTATTAGAGGAAATGGGTCGTGAAATCGTACGTCAGGAATCATCTATAAAAGAGCCCGGGAGGCGCAGTAGGCTGTGGAGCTATGAAGATGTGCATCATGTGTTAACTCAAAAAACGGTGAGAAATGCACTCCCCCTCCCCTCCATTAATGTAACTATTTCGAATCTTCTTCCTCCCTTTACGTTAGTAAATTTAAATAATAATAATTATTATTATTATAAAAAGTATAATGCTTCAACTTTGACCAAAATCCAATTCATGAGAAACATGTGCATTAGGTGTTATAATCTTAAGTTTTGTACTCACTCCATTTGCAATTTTGGTTATAGGCTACAGAAGCAGTTGAAAGCATAATTGTGCATTGGCCACATGGAGACAATGTGGTGAAATTAAACACCGCTTTTGTTGAAATGACAAAACTAAGACTACTTAAAGTCTATACCCACTATTTACGACCACCGATCAGGAAGTCCGTTGATCAATGGAAATACGAGGATCTAAAGTTTCTCTTTAAAAAATTAAGTTATCTATTCTGGGACAAATGTCCCCTAAAGTCTTTATCATCCAATTTTAACCCAGAACTCTTGTTGAAATTGACATGCAATATAGTTGGGTTGAACACCTCTGGAAAGGAACTAAGGTACGTTCATCATTTGCCTATATACTACTTTTAAATGGTTTAGTTTTTAAATGCCTTATTATGTATGTAACACATATTTTCCCTGATGTATATTGACAACCTCTTGGAAAGTTGAAGATTATCAATTTAAAAGGCTCTCATCGTCTTAAGGAAACACCTGACTTCACTGAGGCAAAGAATCTTGAGAAGCTAATTCTTAGTGGATGCACAAGGTTATATGAGGTTCACCCATCCATTTCTGCCCTTGAAAAACTTATCCTCTTGGATCTAAGTTGGTGCGGCAAACTCAAGACCTTTTCAAGCAACATTTGTATGAAATCTCTTGAAACCTTTGATCTCTCTTTTTGCTCAATACTTGAGAAGTTTCCAGAGATTTCAGAAGTTACGGAGAAGCTTTCAAAGCTTTATTTGCAAGGGACTGCAATAAAAGAACTGCCTCAATCAATTAACAATCTTACGGGGCTTGTTACCTTGAATCTCGAATATTGCAGAAAACTTGAGATTCTTCCAAGCAGCATTGTTCAACTGAAGTCACTGCAATTTCTTAATCTTTCTGGTTGTCCAAAGCTCAAGGCCTTTCCAAGAAATGTCGGAAATATGGAAGGATTAAGAGAGCTTCGCTTGGATGAGACATCTGTTGGAGTCCTTTGCCCATCAATTTCATCTCTTGAAAACCTTGAGATTTTGAGTCTAAAGCAATGCAAGAAATTTCATAGCCTTCCAAAGAGCATTCATATGAGATCTCTTCGAACCCTTAATCTTTCTAGCTGCTCAAATCTGTATAATTTTTCAGAAATTCCTGAATTTATGAACCTATTAGAGCTTAATTTAGATGAGACTACAATTTCAGAACTGCCATCGTCCATCAAAAAGTTTACAGGACTCGTTACCCTGAGCTTGAAGGATTGCAGAAGATTAAAGATTCTTCCAGGCAGCATTCGTATGAGATCTCTTCAAACCCTGAATGTTTCTGGCTGCTTAAATCTGGAGAATTTTCCAGAGTTTCTAAAAGTTCTGAAGAACCTAACGGAGCTTCATTTAGATTGGACTATATTTACGGAGCTTGAATATGAGCAAGCTTTTCGCAGCCGACAATTTAAGTTTTCGGGGATTGCAATTGAAGAATTGCCATCCATAATTTATAGTCTTACGGGACTTGCTACTTTGACGCTACGGTATAGCAAAGACTTTAAGAGTCTTACGAGCAGCATTTGTCAACTCAAGTCCCTAAATTATCTCTCTCTTTCTGGTTGTACAAAGTTTAAGGTGTTTCCAGACATATTAGAAAATATGGAAAGATTAGCCAGCCTTGATTTGGATAGAACATCTATCAGAGAGCTTCCCGCATCAATTGAACGGCTTCAAGGGTTAGTGTCGTTAAATCTGAAAAACTGCAAAAGCCTGGTATATCTACCGGAGAGTATCTGCAATTTGTTAAGCCTCGAATGGCTCACTCTCCATAGGTGCTCAAAACTTTCGAAGTTGCCTGAAGACTTACAGTATTTGAAGTGCCTTGACATAGAGGAAACTGGTATACATGGTTACCGCCCAGAACAGCTTTTCATCACTTTGGGGGATTTGGCTCAGTTTCGAAGCACTGCACCTATGATTAATGCGATGGTCCCAAACAATGAGCAAAATGAGAAAGTAGATGATGTGGAATCCTGCCTTCCCTGGAAGGATGATTCAGAAACTTTGACTGATCCTGAGGAGTCAAGCTATGTGGAATCCCTCTTCCCCGGTAGGAATGATTCAGAAATTTTGATTGATCTTGAGGAGTCAAGCTATATGGAAGAGATGAGGCAGCGACATTTGGAAGAGACCAGGTAGGGACATCGACGTTTGGAAGAGATCAAACGTCGACGTTTGGGGCTGGGGTTTTACCACAAAA